ATTTTATAAGTTTAATTTCTACTCTGGAACTCCAGCTAGATACAGAGTGATGAAAAAGTACACCACCTTAAGATTTTATGGTTTACCATACTTAGCCATACATATTTGCACTTCACCTAGACCTAGACCTATAGTAGACACAAACAACCGCATTTGCCAAATAACACAAAAACTCTAGTGTCATTATTTAAAAAAACGAGCCAGCATTCAATATCATTGAAAAAGGAATTAGCTATTGAATACTTAATTCTGTAACTTGTGGCACCACCTTTAGCAGCAATAAGTTGAATTAAACATTTCCTGTAAGAGCTGATTAATTTTTTTTATCATTCCAGATACTTTACTGCAGACATTTGAGTTCTTGTCAGTTCTGACTTTGACCAGTGAAACAGGAGTTTATACGAACCTTTATGGATATCTTTAATAGCAAACGACTTAACTTTTTAATAGTTATTTCTTTCATTTAGAATCAATCATTTACGTCATTACATGTAAAACTGTATATGGTAGAGAATGGAGAAGTGTAGCACATAAGGTTCATAATGATGCTTTTTTCTGATTAAATATATCTTTAAAATACCATAAAATGCAAAATGAATGACAATACTATATAATATCGTCTTTACAGCCTTGAAAACTGTAATTTTACAAAGGACATCTGTAGTGATCTGGCTTCCGCTTTGCATTTGGGTCACTCAAAGATGAGAGAGATGGAATTGAGAGACAATTGCCTAGAGGATTCAGGAGTGAACCTGCTCTGCACTGGAATAAGTAAAATAGAAAGATTGGGGTGAGTAACAAAAAAAACAGAGCTGTTTACGCCTGGTTTTAGAGGGATGATATGTCTGCAGGTTTTTATTTTAAATTGGATATTGAAAAGTTAGCTGGATATTGGTTGAACTTAACATCTTATCCATGTTTTGGGTGTTTCCAGTTTAAACTGACGAATCTCCAGCTACAACTGACCTCAAGGATGACACAGCAGTACATTAAATGCAATTTATCATTCTGTAGCTGTTTAATAGCAATGTAATAAATGAATAATGTTATAGTAATTATGCAGTTTTATTAGGTAAATACCTACAATTGTAAATTGATTAATTCTAAACACACAGGAAAAAGAACTTATGTCAGACTCTGATAGTGTTCACAGTTCACTGATAGTGAAATACAGATATTTCTGTAATTCTGAAGATAAATATTGTGAAAGAAAATATATGTTTCTAGCTAGAACTAATATAACTGTTACAGGTCAGCTTTAATGAGGGAATTCAAATGTATAGTGATGCTATTTTAAATAAATAATTTACGAAGGATTGAAAGCTACATTTTCATAGGGGGGTTAGATCATTTAGACTAGTCTGGTACATGTATGTAAAGAGACTCACACTACTATCTGGTGCTGGACTGATGTAAAATGTTGTAAGCAGAAGATTTTTGGTGACTGAAGTCATCTAAGTAATGTGGGATAACTCTTTGGATTTGTTTTAAAGAAATTTTCCTTTTCTTTATTGTTTTTGAAGAAAAGATCAAAATCACTACAGTACATGTTGGTAATGGACTGGAACCTTTATTGGCAGCACATGTTGCCATGACTCTGGGCAGCAGAAAGTGGGAGATCTGAACAGGACTGGGTAGCTTTGGGGAGGACAGAGAAATCTAAAGGCGATGGGACCACACCCTATATTACAGGCAGAATAGAGAGTGGGATAGAAAAGAAGCACCCCACATCATTGATTGAATGAATGTGAATGTTCTTAGGACTCCTCAAAGAGACTGCTTGGGGTTTGGGCATGACAGGTGCTATTGTCTAGACCCTGTGTGTTCTGACATGGAAGTCTTCCCGCTAAAATAACAATTGTGGTCCCCAAAGCCTTAGGAATGGTCTCCGCCCCATGGAGAAAGGGTTGAAAGTCTGAGGTGGGCAACCAGTCACCACGTTTTCAGTGAGCTACTGTATATACTGTATATGCAAGCCCATATGTGTTTTACAAGAACATGTCTCTTGCAAGTGCAACTTGTAGACAAATAGGACATTCTACCATGCTTTCTACAGTCAGAAAACACATTATTTTAAAACTAGAAACCAGCTACCTCAGCATTCAGACCATATGAGAGAAGCATCGAGGTACAGAAAAAAAAAACTGCCACCAGTGTGTGAAGTTGACCTCTGAGCTAAAGGAGTGGAGTAAGGTCCTTCAGGCAACAGCAAAGCAAAAGAAGATCCTGAAGTCCAAGATGGCAGCTTGTGAGTGTTACGCATTCCACTCGCGCTGCTCTTCCTTCTTGCATTCCCACGCGCACACCCTGTAAAACAAGCTCACGCCGCAAGTAAATGCCAATCACCTTTCTCTCCCGTCTCTATTTTAGTTCTCCTTTTTCCTCACTTCCCCGCTCACTATTGCGGATTCTCTTCGAGCTCCCTAATGCACGTTTACCTCTTGCTTCTCTACGGTTTTCGATCTCCTAGCCTGCTTCTCGTTTTCGGTTTCGCCTTGTGATTTGGATTGCTGCTTCCTCGTTTGTGCTTCCGTGTTCTGAACAACTCGCCTGCTTCCTGGATTCGATTTCGCCTAGTGTTTTTTTGGATTGTTGCTTCCTCCTTGTCTCTCTGTGTTCCGACCTACTCACCTGCCTCCTGGTTTTCGTTTTTGCCTAGCGTTTCTGCTTTGTCTTTCTCTTGTCTTGAGTCCTGCATAGGATCCTATTGCCCTAGCAGCCCTATCTTACAGTGAGACGCAGTCCAACCAGTTGCAGTTCAGTAAGGTTGAGCTAAAATGGGTGAGCAACAAGCTGGTAATGTCACAAAAGTGCAACTATGGTCTTCAGACTGATGTGAATAGCCTGTGTTAAGAATGCACAAAACTGTCTTGTAAAACAAGGGAAAAAAGAGATGCTTTGCTGATTGATGAACAGCAGCAAAAGAATGTGGAAGCCAAGCTGATGGCCTCTGAGATGCTGATCAGCCAGCTGCTGAAAGAAAACACTCACTGTAAAGTCAGATGAAGGAGGTGGGCAGTGAGTTGGAAATCCAGACAGCTGAAAAGGGAGGTTGGAGAGCAGGAACTCACCCAGTAGAAGACTGAGTCAAGGAAAGATTTTCCCTTAGTTTCCCCATAGAGTACTACAAGCTGGTTGTATAAATTAAAAAAGCACAAGATACAGTACTTTCAGCCAGAGAGCCACAGAAATTCAACGCCTGAAGAAGTTAAGATGCAAGAGATGCTAGGATAACTTCCAAGGCTGAGTGTGAGCAGTGTTTTCATGGAGGAAATAAAGCACTATAGAGAACCATTTGATCTACCAAGAAAATTAGGTGGCCAAACAACCCATGATGTGTCATGGCAAAGAGATTTCACCATTCTCAACATTCTTCCCAGTGAAGAGTTGACTCAGTCCTTGGAAAGCCTGAGAACACATAGAGTCCTCAGGAAGAAGATGTCTTTTTCTGCCTTTCACACACTCCAATGACATTGGTCAGGCCTCTGAAAAGCCACTGGAGATGGGCTGGTATTACAAGCTGCCAAGACACAGGCTACCTGATGGCTCCTCGAGAAGAAGAGTAGGAGAGGCTACCTCCAGATCCCTGGAAAAAGATCCAGGGATCTTTTTCTCCAGATCCAATCGAAAAAGAGTAGGATACGTGGCTGCCTTTGTCCCAATAGGCAAGAGAGAAGAAGCTCCAGGTGCCAGACAATGACAAAAATGCAATAGTGCATAGGTGTTGGTTATATAAGATACAAGTAAAGGCAATACCTTCCCTACAGTCACTGATGGATGAGGGGTGTATTATCAGGGCAGCAATGCCACTGTCCTTGCAGCCTGCTCCTAGGCAAAGTGATAGACTGATCAATTCTTACAGAAAACATTTAATTCACGTTTTTTGGTGTTCATTTTGTTAATAATCAAAGTTAACAATTGAAAATTTAAATAATGTGCTACTTTCCATAACAAAAATACTTTTTGTTATTGGCATTGTAAAAAGGTGTATACTATGAAACCTAACAAGGTCAGAGATATACAATCTCTGAGTAATAAGGCTGAAAAAGTTTAGATTCAGTACATGCAAATAAATTAAATCTGCAAAGGTCATGCAGTCAAACTCAGGTTGAAAAGGAAATAAGATTCTTGAAGAAGCCTGTAATTTTTTTAATCTAAAATTTACAGTTCAAGGACAAATTAATTGCATTTTGTTAATAATATTTTTACTATTGCAATGTCTGCAGAAATAGGTGAAAGGACTATTGTTTGCTTCTTTTCTAATGTTCAGAGTTGGGAGACTGAAGAAACCATGCCATTTTGTCTCTGTAGGCTATCATTCTGTGGAGTCACAGAGAGAGGCTGTGAAGCTCTAGCCTCAGTGCTCCGCTCAAATTCCTCAAAACTTAGAGAGCTGAACCTGAGCTACAATCACCCAGGAGATTCAGGATTGAAACTGCTTTCTGCACTTTTGGAAGATCCTAACTGTGAACTGAAGAAATTACAGTAAGTTCAGAAATATAAACATATTTCATGTGTCCATCCTTTGTTTTAAAGTTTGTTTCTTATTGCTTTCTAGAAAGACAAACATAATAGTAATACAAACATAATACTGCATAGTTGTACTACTAATAATATTTGCTTACTGCCCTGTCTTTCTCACTCCTGAAGAAGTCTCCATGGCTGAAACATTGTGTTTTCTTTTTTCTCTTTTCAGTATGGAATAAACCTATTACTTGTTCCTTTGCAGCCTAGGCATGCTGAAGCAGCTACCCACCAGACTAATAATAATATTGTCAGCTTGTGGGTTTTTTTTTCAGTTTGTAGACATTTTGCTATTTGAATGTAACATCAACTTCTCTACATCAAATGATGTGCAAAATGTTTGTCCAGCATGGAAATCTAAATATTTCAGATTTTATTTTGCACTTTTAATGTTTACTTTTCCTTCTATTTTATCCTTCTGTTTTGCTAACTATACCAGAAAATAGATTATAAATATGCAACATTGTGATAATTCACTAATTACATGGTTCATGGTTTAAAATGTGATATTTAACCAGCTAGTCCCTCCTGGGTATGGTTTGTTTGACCTTCTGCATCTCTCAGACAGAGGCAGGGGCATCATTGTTATTTACAATTTTTTTACAATTTAAATCCCATTACTCCTATACATACCTCCTCCCTCTTCTTTTGAGTGCCTTGTTTTAAATGTCACTATCCCCCAATCTACTATCATTGCCACAGTTTATAGGCCATCCAAACCAAGCAAAGCCTTTTTAGGTGAGTTTGCTGATTTACTCTCATTTTAATGCCTTAAGTTGAAAAGGATCCTTATTCTAGGGGACTTTAATATACACATTGACTCAAGCTCATCCAGTCTGGCTAAATACTTCCTTTCTCTACTGGGATGTTTTGATCTTACTCAGTTTGTTTTTAGCCCTACACATACTGTAACAAAGGACACACCCTAGATTTAATCATTGCAAATTACTCTTTCGTCTCCCACTGCTCTTCCCTTGATCCAGGCCTCTCTGACCACTTACTGTAGCTATTCTCTTCAATCTGGAATAACTGTTTCTAACACTTCTCCCTCATGCTCTACAAATTCTGCAACTCATGATCAAATGATCAGCCAAGGTTTGCAAATTCTGTTCTATCCTCCTTATCTTGTTTCTCTTCCTCTGACACTCCAGAGGACAAAATACATTTAATTGACAGTGCTCTTTTATCTACCCTCCACACCTTTGCTCCTCTAAAACAAATTCCTAATACAAGAAATTGTATATGGCCAATCTCTAAAAGTGATCTCAAAGTGATCTCTAAAAAACTCGAACCATATCCTTCTCTAACCCTACCCCCTGGTACAATGACCATCTGCAATTTATGAAGGCAGACTCCTGCAAACTTGAGCGTAGGTGACATCTTTCTGACCTAAATGTACATGACCAGGCTTGGAGAGATTACTTGTCTGAATATACGGTTACTATAGAGTCTGCTAAATCCACCTGCTTCTCTCACATCATTGAAAATCACAACAACTCCAGACATCTTTTCTCCACCATCAACAGTTTGCTAAAGACAAACTGCCCCACCACATTACCTGCCTCATCGCAACTTTGCAACATTCTTAGATTTCTTTACCTCCAAGATCGACCACATCTGGCATCACATTCTCTCCACTACACATATCATTTCCCACCACTTTATTTCAGTCATGTTTCTCTTCTCTCTGTCCCATTGTGCTCAATATTATAAATGAATCCTTGAGCACTGGCGTTGTACCAACAGTCCTCAAAACTGCTGCCATTACCCCCATGACAAAAAAACGTAACATGGCTCTGGACAATCTTAACAATTTTCAAATCATCCCCAACTTACCTTTTCTTGCAAAAATTCTACAACGTGCTGTCACACTTCAGTTACATAACCACCTCATGGCAAATAACCTTTTCGAACCTCTCCAATCTGGCTTCAGTCAACTTCACAGCACAGAAACTGCCCTAGTCAAAGTCACCAATGATCTCCTAATAGCTTCTGATTCTGGTTCTCTTTCTATACTTATCCTTCTTGATCTAAGTGCTGCTTTTGACCATAACATTTTACTTTCTCTTTATTTTACTTTTTCTTAATTGAGACTGTGTTTGGAGTTTCTGACACTGCTCTCAAATGGTTCAAGTCTTACCTCATTGATCGGTGTAACTTTGTCTCTCTTAATGGGTATAGGTCTGAAATTGGTCTTGTTAAGTCTGGTGCTCAATACTGGGCCCCTTGCTTTTCAGCATTTACATGTTTCCACTTGGTCAGCTTTTAAGCTTTCACATGTCCTCACCTATCATTTCTATGATGATGCTACTCAAATATACATCCATACCAAACCTGACACTGATGTGGCTGTCTCTATTGTATCTAGTTGCATCTCTGACATAAAAACTTGGATGACTCAAAATTTCTTTCATCTTAACTGTGACAAGACTGAAGTCATGCTTATTGGCACCCCAAATCAACTTCGTAAAGCCAGTCCTGTAACCCTATCTGTAGATGGTTCTGTACTTGAGCTTCAGTCTAAATTGAAAAACCTTGGGGTGATATTCAAT